AAGATTCCAGGCCCCCAGCCTGGCCGGCGTGGCTCAGTGGTTGAGCGTTGACCTAGGTCACCGGTTCGATTCCCGGTCAGGGCACATGCCCGGGTTGCAGGCTCCATCCCCAGTAGGGGGCGTGCAAAAGGCAGCCGATCCCTGATTCTCTCTCATCATGGATGTTTTTCTCTCTCTCTCCCTCTCCCTTCCTCTCTAAAATCAATAAAAATATATATTTAAAAAATGGCTTTGTATTGCCCTCCTAAAAGTCATGTTTAAGTGCAGTCACCCGGCAGGCCCAAGGAGGGGTGTCTAACAGGATATTGTCGGGATCACTGAGGAGGGAAGCAGGGCGCCCTAATGTGTGTGCCAACCACCAACCGTAACCACAGCCCTGCAGCAGCCACAGGGGTGGGGTTCTTTTTTAAAAAAATATATATTTTATTGATTTTTTTTTACAGAGAGGAAGGGAGAGGGACAGAGAGTTAGAAACATTGATGAGTGAGAAACATGGATCAGCTGCCTCCTGCACACCCCCTACTGGGGATGTGCCCGCAACCAAGGTACATGCCCTAGACCGGAATCGAACCTGGGACCCTTCAGTCCGCAGGCCGACGCTCCATCCACTAAGCCAACCGGTTAGGGCAAGGGGTGGGGTTCTTTATAAAAACGGGAATGAGGTCAAGGCAATTATGGAACACCCCCCCCCCCCCCCCCCGACACACACACACAGAAAAGTCCACCTCTCCAAGAAAGGAAAGATATCTGGCCGAGGACTTCGCGGCAGCCTCACGGATGCCCCTCCACAGGAGGTCCCTGGCCTCCTTCTTTATCAGCTACTCCCTGCAAACTTCCATCAAAGACTGTACTTGACCTCAGCAGGCGACCCTACGGGTAAAGTGAGAAGCAGCCCGCACTCGGAAATCGCTTCTTATTGTGATCCCCACCATCGCTCGCCGCCCCCCTCACTCGGAAGAAAGCCGCCCCTAAGGAGGCGCCGGCCTGTTTTATTCTGTGGACTGCCCGTTTCCCGCTGTCCCTTGAATACGCCCATCAGGGGGTCAATCCCGGAAGAGCAAAGGACACCTTTCAACTAAACAAAAGCAACCAAACAGGCTGTGGGCAGGTTCTGCCTGAGGAGCGTCCTCAAACTGCCCACCAGCCAACGTCACTCCCCTAGGTCAGTTGTCGGCAAACTCATTAGTCAACAGAGCCAAATATCAACAGTACGACTGAAATTTCTTTTGAGAGCCACATTTTTTAAACTTAAACTATATAGGTAGGTACACTGTTATTAACTTCATTAGGGTCCTCCTAAGGCTTAGGAAGAGCCACACTTAAGGGGCCAAAGAGCCGTGTGTGGCTCTCGAGCCGCAGTTTGCCGACCACGGCCCTATGTTAACGGGACTCGCTTTCTAACTAGAGAGAAATAATTAGTCTCCGGGTGTCTACTCACAGATCCGCCGGTTAGAAAGAAACGATGATTTTCATCGGCTTTTCCCATGGAAAATAAATGAAGTTATATCGCTGATGATTGGGAAAAGAGAGTAAAGAAAAAATAATGACCATCAGCCACCCTAAGACAACCGTCACTAGCAGTTGTAGCTATTTCTTTGGGGTGCTTTCGTTGGATTTTTTTTTTTGCATAATTTTAGTTTCATTATAAATTACAGAATGGGTATCTTCCAATCAGGCCAACGTAGAAAATAACCACACGCCATCATATGAAAAGAGAATAGCCCGACCTGCATGGCTCAGTGATTGCGCGTTGATCTGTGAACCGAGAGGTCACGGTTCCATTCCCGGTCAGGGCACATGCCGGGGTTGCGGGCTCGATCCCCAGCAGGAGGCTGCTGATCCATGATTCTCTCTCATCATTGATGTTTCTATCTCTCTCTTCCTCTCCCTTCCTCTCTCTGAAATCAATAAAAAACACATTTAAAAAAAAAAAGAGAGAGAGAGAATATATGACAGTGGTTCTCAACCTGTGGGTCGAGACCCTTTGGGGGTCGAACAACCCTTTCACAGGGGTCGCCTAAGACCATCAGAAAACACATATATAATTACATACTGTTTTTGTGATTAATCACTATGCTTTAATTATGTTCCATTTGTAACAATGAAATTGGGGGTCACCACAACATGAGGAACTGTATGAAAGGGTCGCAGCATTAGGAAGGTTGAGAACCACTGATATGCGGTCTAATGGTCACGGTGTACCCTTGGCAAACACTTTCCATGTATCAAGTTACTTCATCATTACAACAACCCACATAGTAACTGCTTTTATAGTTCCCATTTTCCAGATGAGAACATTGAGGCACCGAGCAGTTAAACAGCTTGCCCGTGACTGCACGGCAAAAAAACCCCCACTTCTTTCTTTGTGCTCAAGACCCTGGAATTTGGGGGTCGTTGGGGTCAATGACGTCACCCTTAACGCACCTCTGGGCCCCTTCAGAACGGCCTTTCACGCTCCCCTCCTCCGCGCCTGGACCCTGGGCTGGTGCCTGTCCTTCGTCCCGGCCCCTCCAAGGACGAGTCTCTGTCTATTGATCCCCTGACAGCACTGACTGATGACTTGCTCGTCGCCTCTTTGTTCTACGACACGGAAGTCCATTTCTCCCGTCTGACACCGTGTTGAACTCTTCATTTCACTCTGAGCCCTTTACTAGCGCGTGTGCGGATGGCATTCTGATTCCGTCTTCTCTCTCCTTTCCCCTCTCCCTCCCTCCCTCCCTCTCCTTCCCCGAGTACACTAGCGTAAGCTCAATTCATCTCTAAGGGTAATTAATGGTGGGAGCCTCGACCATGGTAGAGCTGTATGTCTGGTGAAAAAAAATGTATTCTACCCTTTCAGAGCCTGAGGCTCTTCCATCGTGTGGATCCCACTTGGGGTCACTTTTCTTGTCTCTTGCCAACTCCGCCGGTTATAAGTGCTCCGTGAGATTGCGTTTTCTTAGCCTCTAAAAATGCCCATCAGAAACTTTCAAGGTCCTATTTTCTTTAAATAAATAAATAATAATAATAGATAAATATATATATTTCAGAGAGGAAGGGAGAGGGAGAGAGAGAAAGAAACATCAATGATGAGAATCATCATTGATCAGCTGCCTCCAGCACGCCCCCTCCTGGGGATCGAGCCTGCAACTGGTATGTGCCCTGACCAGGAATCTAACCGTGACCTCCTGGTTCCTAGGTTGACGCTCAACCACTGAGCCACGCTGGCCGGGCTGTGGTCTTATTTTCAAATAATACCTCTGGCTTCCAAGGGGGTAATCCATAACATAATCCAAACACTTTAACAAGTTTTGCTAACAACGCTTTACACAATCATTGCAATTATTGACGGCTTGATATGGATGATGACAATAGAACTCCTTTTGCTTGCTTCATAATTATAACGATATTGTATTTCTTTCTTTTCGCTTTAATACTCTAATTTGGATAATTATCCAACAGAGCTCCTCCTGGCAACCATCTGGAAGATTTCAGAGAGGAAGGAAGAGGGAGAGAGAGAGAGAGAGAGAGAAACATCAATGAGGAGAGAGAATCATGGACCGGCTGCCTCCTGCACGCCCCACACTGGGGATCAAGCCAGCAACCCAGGCATGTGCTCTGACTGGGAATTGAACCGTGACCTCCTGGTTCATAGGCCAACGCTCAACCACTGTGTCTCTCACCTCAGTGTTTCTCTCTCTCCCTCCCCTTCCTCCCTTCCTTCGAGTCTGACAAAAAATTGAATGAAATATCCACACTCAGGTAGATTAAAAAAAAAAATGCCAGGGTTCAGGAACTCAACTATCAGAGATTATAAAACCCTACAACTCGATGACTACATCACCTATCAAAGTGGACTGCGTGCTGAGCCTGTGTGGTTCAGGGGTTGAGCATCGACCTATGAACCAGGCGGTCATGGTTCCATTCCCGGTCGGGGCACATGCCCGGGTTTCGGGCTCGATCCCCAGTGTGGGGCGTGCAGGAGGCAGCCGATCCATGATTCTCTCTCCTCATTGATGTTTCTCTCTCTCTCTCCCTCTCCCTTCCTCTCTGAAATCAATAAAAATATATGTGTTTTTTTTAAAGTGGCCTGCGTTGCAGTGGCTCAGGACTGTACCGGTCGGACCCCGCCCTGACGTCCTAAACTTCTCCTACACGTAAGGACACAGCGACAGGCGTCAAAGACCCAGGCTGGGCCCCCTGCTCGGCCACTCGGGGGATGTGGGTTTCCTCAGCCTCCCTTTCTGCATCTATAAAAGACGGGCGTGAATGCGACAACTCCCCAGACCCCTTTGCATTCTAACGTGTGATGCCAGCGGCCACTGAGAATCTCCCCAGCGGCCCAGGCAGTCTAACCAGTGAGCAGAACGGCATCAAAGGCAAACACGGGCTCTGAAGAAGGAGTCTCGGCCCCGGGGACACCTGGGCGTCGCGCAGGTCCCAGGTGAGACGGGAAGAAAGGCCGGGGAGGGGGGCGTTTGACGGCTGCCTCTCTCCGGGCCCGGCGGGCAACAAGCATGTTTTATAACAAACACGGCGCGTTCCAGCCTCGCTCGGGGTGTGCGTGTCTTGGATGAGCGTCTTGAGCTCCTACGGGGGATCCACAGATAATACTAGTTGTGTATCTTGCAATCTGGGAAACAGCAAAAATCTCTCTCCAGGCAGCAGGGCAGATGGGGAGAAGGGAGGGCCGGCTTCCCCGAAGCATCGAGCCACGTGGCTCCAGCGGAGCCTTTCTCGGTGGAGAGAGAAAAAAAAAAAATTCCCATTTATACGCGAGCATCTCTGCCGGTGGAAGGCAAAGATGTTCTCGGTTAGTATCTTCTCTATCTCCTCCGCGCAGACGTGGCGCGAACACGCTCATCCTTCAGGCTAAGCGATACCTGCGCTCACAGATGCACATACTATTATAAATATGCTAATAACGTTTTGCATGAACACAGAGGACGAACGTGCTCTGCGGAGATGCGTTCGCTCGTTAATCCTCAGGGTGCCCGGGGGGATCGCTAGGGGCGAGGGACGGGGTGCCAGCTTTCTCGGGTGCCAGGCGACCGCAGGGTGTGCGCAGTTTGCTCAAGTCTGTCCGGTGGACCGTCTGCAGGGCCTGAGAGGACGCAGGATGCTCACTAACCTCAGGTCTGGACTGGCCCACACCGCACCCCTCTCATAAACACAGCAGAGCCCGGCTGGTGTGGCTCAGTGGGTTGAGCATCGTCCATGCACCATGGAGGTCGCCGGTTCGATTCCCGGTTGGGGCACGGGCCCCGGTTGCAGGCTCCATCCCCAGTAGGGGGCGTGCAGGAGGCGGCCGACCTATCTTTCTCTAACACCGATGTTTCTATCGTCTCTCCCTCTTTCTAAAACATCGGTAAAAACATATTTATAAGACACAAACATCGGAGACCTCACTGCAGTCATTCGGCATTTCGTTCATCTCCTCGTCTTCTCCGCCCTGATCCTTCTAACGCCGGCACCTGCGGCCGTGGGAACCCCCGGGAAAGCTACGAGGCTGCTTTTCAGAGACTCAGGGGGTTCCCAAGCTTTATCTTCCTGCTTCCCTCCTCTCCAGAGTCCACAGGCTGCCAATCTGCATCCCAGCTCACCGCACGCTCCCACCCCATTTCAACTCCATCACCTCACTCCAGTCTCATCACCTCACTTTATTTTTACAAAAAAAAAATGTTTTTATTGATTTCAGAGAGGAAACAAGAGGGAGGAAAAGAGAAGCATCAATGATGAACGAGAATCATGGATCAGATGCCTCCTGCACGCCCCCCACTGGGGACCGAGCCCATAACCCAGGCATGTGCGCTGGTGGGGAATCGAACCGAGACCTCCTGGTTCATAGGTCGACGCTCAACCACTGAGCCATGCCAGATGAGGTCAGCACCTTGTGTTTTAACATGAGGTCTTCTGAGAGCTAAGCCCTAGACAGTGGTCAGCAAACTGCGGCTCAGCAAAGCACAGTTTGCGAGCCACATGCGGCTCTTTGGCCCCCTGAGTGTGACTCTTCCACAAAACACCGGCTCTTCCACAAAATACCGACTTCTGCGCATGGGCCACGAAGTTTCAATCGCACTGTACGTGCGTGCCCGCACGTGGTATTTTGTAGAAGAGCTACACTCAAGGAGCCAAAGAGCCGCATGTGGCTCGCGAGCCTCAGTTTGCCGACCACGGCCCTAGGGCACACCGCACCTCCTACACGCAACCTGGCAGTGAGCAGCTCGGATGTCCCTCAGGCCGTCAGAATGTCGCTGGCCACGCCCGCAGCCTCCTGCTCTGTCCAAGAGATGGGACCCAAGTACTAGTAAAGCCACTAAGTCAGTGACCACAGACCCTGGCTGCCTGGGGTCCGGGGGCGCCTGAATGTTTCCGGGACCACCTCAGAGAGCCCCCTCGGTCCCGCGGGGCCATGCCGTAAGGAGGACGTTACCATGAGGGCCGTGTAGGTGTAGGGATAGTGGTAGGCCAGGTAGCAGACGTCGCCACGGTGCGGGAAAGTGATGGAGAAGGTGAGGGTGTAATAGCACTTCCTGGGCGTGCCCCCCGTGACGGCCATGCTCTCGCGGTAGTGATTTCTGAAAGAGAAAGGAGAAGAGAGGAGGGTGAGGGAGGCGGCAGGGAAACAGGCATTCGGGGTTCTAGGCCGCCAATATGGCCACTCGAACGCTGAGAGATGGCACGACTGAGCCATCAGCAATGTCTAGGCTGGTCCGTCAGGCCGAGGTGGCTCAGTGTTTGAGCGTCGACCTACGAACCAGGAGGTCAGAGTTCGATTCCCAGTCAGGGCACATGCCCGGGTGGCGGGCTCGATCCCCAGCAGGGGGCGTGCAGGAGGCAGATGATCCATGATTCTCTCTCATCATGGATGTTTCTCTCTCTCTCCCTCTCCCTTCCTCTCTGAAATCAATAAAAATATATTGAGGGGGCAGAAAAAGTCTAGGCTGGTCCGTCTGTCTCCTCACGGTGGCGTACATGTCACGGGACTTTCTCTGATGTGTCTGAAAATGAGTCTATAGAGTCCCTGAGACAAAAGACGTGAGTAATTCGGGTTACTCGGGGTTCTACTGCCGACATTCACTTTTTTTTTACCCAAATTTGGGGGTTCCCAGCCTCTGCCTCTCCCCAGATCACCCAGATTACAGTTGTTCTCCTCCCTCCCACCTGCCCCGGGGGGCTCATGAGCAATCACTACTCTGTATTGCAGCGGTTCTCAGCCTGTGGGTCGCGACCCCTTTGGCGGTCGAACGACCCTTTCACAGGGGTTGCCTAAGACCATCCTGCATATCAGATATTTACATGACGATTCATCACAGTAGCAACATGACAGTGATGAAGTAGCAACGAAAATAATTTTATGGTTGGGGGTCACCACATGAGGAACTGTATTTAAAGGGCCAGAAGGTTGAGAACCACTGCGAGTGTATTGAGTTCCAACTCGAAACGTAACAAGGGCGTCTGATCACTGCAACAGCCCATGGTGCAGATGCAGAAACAAAGGCTCGGAACACTCGACCTGCCGAAGGTCGAAAAGCCAGCCCGCGGTCCGTGCGGGACTCGGACCCAGATCTGCCTGTCTGCCAGGACTCTGTACCCTCCTCTCTACACCACCTTCCTCCCAAAGGGACACACATCTGTCACCCCCCAACGCGGCCCGGCTTCTCCTAGCTCGAGACCGCACGGTTTCCTCTGTCAAGGATGAAGAAGCGATTTGGAGATTTCAGAGAACGGCATCCAAGTCCATGGCCCCCAGAAGTACGTTTCCAAACAACAGGCTGCACCGTCACGCAAAACGCGCCCAGACGCCCATGAGGAGGTGACCGCCTTCCAAGTCCTACACCAGGTAGAGTAGAGGCAGGGGTGAAGCAAACAAGCCTTCCACGGTGGATCAACCCAAGGACAATGCTGCGTAAAAAGGGAGCGATGGACTGTGCACCCCCAGGCATCCTCTGTTAGGGAGAGCTGTTCTATTTGGTGGTTGAACGGCGATACACACATGGACCCTGGGCTTCGATTGATCGCATTTCTGGGAATATGTTAACATAAGGTGGTGAATCGTTGTAAAACAAAGGACGCTATGAAGTAGCAACCTTATCCATTCATCTCCGTGGCATTCACGGCTGGGAAATGAAAAATGGATTACATTATGCATTGATGGCTTCCATGTCAGCCCTCTGTTCCTCTTTGATCACAGAACAATGGTCTTGTTAATGAGCCTAAAAGCTATTAACAGTAACGTTGGCTTTCTCGGGGCTTAGGCCAAAGTGAATTTTTTTTAAAAATATAACTATCAATGATGAGAGAGTATCACTGATTGACTGCCTCCTGCACGCCCCCCGCTGGGGATCGAGCCCGCAACCCGGGCATGTGCCCTTGACCGGAATCGAACCTGGGACCCTTCAGTCCGCAGGCCGATGCTCTATCCACCGAGCCAAACCGGCCAGGGCCCAAGGTGAATTTTGGATGTGTGGCTTCTTCCCTCCCCAGTTGGCAGACTTTTTTAAAAGTATATTTTTATTGATTTCAAAGAGGAAGGGAGAGAGAGAGAGAGAGAGAGATCAATGATGAAAGAGAATCACTGATTGGCTGCCTCCTGCGTGCCCCCTACTGGGAATCAAGCCCGCAACCCAGGCATGTGCCCTGACCGGGATTCGAACCATGACCTACCAGTTCATAGGTCAGTGCTCAACCACTGAGTCACACCAGTCAAGCTGACTATAGTTTTTAAGGGGCCTCTTGTAATCCGAGAAAAAGATAAGACTTAATTTATCCAAGAAAATAAGTACTAGCCTACCATTTTTATTACCAAAAAAAACAAACACTAGCAATGAACTGATAATTATATATTTTCTACCTGTTCCAACAACTGCTATTTTTTTTCCATGTGAATTGGTATTTTATTTCCCCCTCCCAGATGCACACATAAGCAACTGATGGGTCTGGGATTCTTTTACCAAGAGCTATGGATAATATCAGTTTCATGACAATTTAACAGGATACATCATTGAAAGTGGTGAGCAGTCAAGGGTTGAAGATGAATTTTGAAGGCCCTTTCTCTTTTATTTAAAAATAAAATCATCTGACTCTGCGTATTTGTCACACATTCACTCTCATCCACTTTGCAAAACTGAAGGACAGGATGAACAAGAATAGACCAGAAAGACAAGTATCACCCGATCTCACCCATATGTGGAATCTAAAGAACAAAACAAACTGATGAACGAAACAGATCCAGAGACACAGAAGCGTGGAACACGGGCTGACGAATCTCAGAGGGAAGGCGGGGGTGGGTGGGTGAGAAGAGGTCAGCCAAAGAATGTGTGTGCATATACAGACAACAGTATGGAGAAGGCCTGAGATGGGGGGGGGGGGGGGGGGATGCGGGCTAGAACAGGTCAAGGGGGACATCTGTAATTCTTTCAATAATAAAGATTTTTTTTTTTATTTTTTTTTTTTTACAAAAGAATAGGCCAGAATTTCTCAGGCTTTTTTGCTCATGAAAAACCAACAGGAAAGAGGAAAAGAATGACAGCTTGACGCACTAATCACAGGTGGGGTCTGTACAACTTCAATAGCCAACCAGGTCTCCAGGTGCTAATGTGCCTGCAAACAGACAGACCATCTTCAGCAAATCAAAAGCTACTGCTTCCGATCTCCTGCGGGCACCATTTCACATGCTTCTGAAGGGCGGGTCAATTGCCACAGGGACAGGGACAAGTACGGCAGACGAGCACCTATGGCCGAGGTGTGTAAGAGCAACATGGAAAAGCAGGAAGTGGAGAGAGAAAGAAAGAGCGGAGAAAAGGAACTAACAAATATTCGGACTCACTTGTAATAGCAGATTTCATAGCCCGTCCGCTTCCAGGTGGGTCTCCCGAGAAGAGCCTCCTTCACAGAATACATGGTGGGCTGCATCCCTACACAGAATAGAGGCCGGGTTAGTCTCTGGCCGAGAGCTGTAGCCGGCTGTCTGATGGCCCTCAAGGATACCCAGGTCTGAATTCTGCAACCTGTGAATGTCACCTTCCATCGCAAGAGAGGCTTTGCAGACATGATTAAAGGCTCTTGAGCCCAGCAGGCGTGGCTCAGTGGTTGAGCATTGACCTATAGACCAGCAGGTCACAGTTTGATACCCGGTCAAGGGCACATGCCCAGGTTGCGGGCTCGATCCCCAGTGTGGGGCGTGCAGGAGGCAGCTGATCGATGATTCTCTCTCATAGATGTTTCTATCTCTCTCTCCCTCTCCCTTCCTCTCTGAAATCAATAAAAAAATTTTTTAAAAAAATTTAAAAAGTTCAAGGCAGGGCAGGGGAGACAGAAAGTAGAGGAGTACCATGGGTGGTATGAACATCTCATGGCAGACTTCGGCTTTCCCTGCCATAGGAGCTGTTTGCCATGCACTGGCCACCATCTTGCCACACTTGACAACCAAAATGTGTCAACTCAGCCCTGGCCGGTTTGGCTCAGTGGATAGAGCATCGACCTGTGGACTGAAGGATCCTGGGTTCAATTCCGGTCAAGGGCACCTACCTCCGCTGCAGGTTCCTCCCAGCCCTGGTTGGAGGCAGGCGGGAGGCCACCAATAGATGTGTCTCTCTCACATCGATGTTTCCCTCTGCCTCTCCCTCTCCCTTCCACTCTCTCCAAAAGTCAATAGAAAAAATATCCTCGGGTGAGGATTAAAAAATGTGTCAACTCATCTTCAAATGCTTCGGGAACCCAGCGGGACTCTGGTAAGGATCCAAACGCTCTCAAGGTGACACCATCTCTGTGTTACCCAGAAAGCCCCCGGCCCCCACCAGCTCCTACCATAGTTAAACTGGCTGTTGGGCTTCTCGTAGTTGATGATGTTGAAGCGGTACGGGGTGGCGGCCCTCATGCCGCGCACCTTGAAGTTGAACCACTGCTGGTACTGGGTGCAGTTGATGTCAGTGTTGATCAGCAAGTCGTACTCAAACCTGCCGAGGTGGGAGCAAGGGCCGAGGGTTAGCCGTCTGTAAGGGAACCTCCCACACTCCCACACTGAGGATCGGCGCCTCTCGGGTTCCCGCGGGCAGATCGAAGACCCGGGGTGGATGGCGGGTGGGTGACACTTAGCAGCCGCATCTCACAATATCAGACGTGGGCTGTGGACATGCCAGAGGGTCACAGGGTCTTGGTATCAGAAGCGTCTGTTACACGTCCAGTGATTAAACCGCAACCAAGTGTCTAGCGAGCTGGAAAAATGCAAGTGCGCTACGGGTGCAGAGAAATGTCAATCCCGTCTGGTTGGAGAGCCTGTGACTATTTAAAGCGAGACATTGCCTGGGAGTCTCAGTCTCCTCATATGGAAAATGAAAATAGTGTCCCAACTTCCAGTGCTGTTCGTGAAGATTCATTAATATGGTGCATGGCCCAGTTGAGGTGGCTCAGTGGTTAAGCACTGACCTAGGAACCAACCAGAAGGTCACGGTTCGATTCCCGGTCAGGGCACAAGCCCGGGTTGCAGGCTCAATCCCCAGTGGGGGGCGTGCAGGAGGCAGCCGGTCAATGATTCTCTCTCATCATGGATGTTTCTCTCTCTCTCCCTCTCCCTTCCTCTCTGAAATCAATAAAAATATTTTTTTTAAAAAGAACTGATCTTGGAATTCACTTGTGGTGGTTGCCAATTTGCATGGTGTAAACACCACCACCACCACCACCACGGCTGATGGCAAGTGAGAGGTCACTAAGAGCAGAGGGAAGAGATGGTCATACCTGCTCTCTTGATCTGCCTGGGGCCACCCTGTTGCAGCTTTCTTTTATTTATTTTATTTATTTATTTTTTTGGTTAATCCTCACCAGAAGATTTTTATTTTTTCCCATTGATGTTTTTATTTATTTTTTTTAAATTTTTTAAATATATTTTATTGATTTTTTTCAGAGAGGAAGGGAGAGGGATAGAGAGTTAGAAACATCGATGAGAGAAACATCGATCAGTTGCCTCCTGCACACCCCTCCACTGGGGATGTGCCCGCAACCAAGGCACATGCCCTTGACCGGAATCGAACCTGGGATCCTTGAGTCCGCAGGCTGACGCTCTATCTGCTGAGCCAAACAAGTCAGGCCCATTGATGTTTTTAGAGAGAATGGAAGGGAGGAGAGACGAGATAAAGAGAGAGAAGCATCGATGTGAAAGAGACACATCGACTGGTTGCCTCCCATACGTGTCCCGACCAGGGCAGGGGATTGAGCCTGCAACCAAGGTGTGTGCCCTTGCCTGGGAATCGAACCCAAGACCCTTCGGTCCTCTGGCCAGCGCTCTAACCACTGAGCACACCGGTCAGGGCCCGTTGCCGCTTCCTTTACTTACTCACGCACTTGGATGGCTTTGCGCAGGTTTCCCGACTCGAACTTGGAGGAGAACCACAGGCAGTTGGGAGCCGTGCCTTGGCTGTAAGGAAGGAGGGAACGTGGGCACGGGCGTTACTGCCGCGGTTGGGTACCGAGTGACATGTCTGAGAGGTGAGCTCTCTCTTCTAGACTTTGAAGCCACATGCTCGCCCTGCTGAGGGTAGGAGCAGGGAGGCCTCTCGAACAGGAAGCACGCTCCTGTCTCACGGCGCTGACAGAACTCTCCATGCTGCACCCACCTCCCTCCCTTCCACGGACGGTCATGTCCACCTACCAAGGCTCGTCTAAACTGAAGACGACTTTGTCTATCACGTCGCTGGGCTGAAGGAGCCTCCGGATGTCCTCGAGTATCTTGACCCTGCGAGGAAAATTAGAAACGCTTTAAAGGTTGACCCTCACTCCTTACCCCACTGGTCCAATGATCATCCTGGGAGTCATCAGAAACATAGGAAAGTTGCCCGGCGGGTGTGGCTCCGTGGTTGAGCGTTGACTCAGGAACCAGAAGGTCGCTGGTTCGATTCCTGATCAGGGCCCATGCCCAGGTGTGGGCTCAATCCCCAGTAGGGGGCGTGCAGGAGCAGCCAGTCGATAAAGTTCCTCTCTCATCGATGTTTCTATCTCTCTATCCCTCTCCCTTCCTCTCTTTCTCTCTAAAAATCAATGAAAACAGCCCTAGCTGGTTTGGCTCAGTAGATAGAATGGCGGCCTGAAGACTCAATGGTTCCGGGTTTGATTCTAGTCAAGGGCACATGCCCGGGTTGCAGGCTCCATCCCCAGTGAGGGCATGCAGGAGGCAGCCGATCGATGATTCTCTCTCACCATTGATGTTTTTATCTCTCTTTCCTTCCTCTCTGAAATCAATAAAAATATATCTTTAAAAAAAAAAGAAAAGGAGAAAAAACATAGCACTTGAGTCAGGACCACCCTCACCTTTGGATCCCACGCTTGCGTTCCAGCAAGGGCTCCGGGGAGTGCGATGGGCAGTGGCCCCAAAGGTCAGGGAACGCCGGCGTCTTGAAGTCAGCCACGGACTTGGTGCCTCTGGCTTTGGCCAGATAGACAAAGGGGTCGTGGAAGGGGACGTGCTGGGGGTGTGTCTGCAGAAGCTCATGGATTCCGTCCGCAGTGCCCCCAGGGGGAGTGGAGCTGGGAAGGGAGGCGCCTGTCCTTGCACAGGAGGTCATGCCCATGTCCCAAGCATCCTCTTGGAGGAGAGTCTCAAGGTCAAGGACTTCCTTTCCGGAAGGATCCACCCCAAGCCCGTTGGGCTGGGCGTGTGGGTGCGGGTTCGTTCCAGGTCCGTTTTTGGAAACGGGGTGCACGGGGGACCTCCCCGTCTTGGCCTTGCTCAGGAGGGACGTCTCGGGGGCAGCTTCCCTCTCCCGTCCCCGGGAGCTCTGGTCCTCATCCAGGCGACGCTGCTTCAGGGAGGCGGCGGTTGGAATGTGGAGGTGGTTGGCGTCGGGGTGGACGTCATCTCCGGGTGTGGGCTCCAGGTCCTTCGGGGGTAAAGCAGACGAGAACGTGTCAGTGTTCCCTCCCAGGGAGACAAGACGACCCCTCCCTGTCCTCACTCTCTGGGCACAGAGCTCAGCGTAAACCCTGTAGATTAAGGAGCTTTCTCCAAGGCCTGCCACAGAAAGATTATGTTTCAAGAGTCAAAGACATGGCCCTGGCCGGTCTGGCTCAGTGGATAGAGCATCGGCCTGAGGGTTGAAGGGTCCCGGTTCAATTCCCTTCAAGGGCGTGTACCTCGGTTGCAGGCTCGATCCCCGGCCTTGGTTGGCGCTCTTGTAGGAGGCAGCGGACCGATGTGTCCCTCTCACATCAATGTTTCGCTCTGTCTCTCTCCCTCCCTCCCGTCCACTCTCTCTAAAAATCAATGGGAAAATACCCTATGGGCGAGGATTTAAAAAAGAGAGAGAGAGATTCAAACAAATGGCAGAATCAAAGAAACTCTCGTTTGCAGGGGCTTTGCATGGGGCTAGTATCATCCTAAGAAGGACAGGGATGCCTCTGCCACACCCCCAATACGTTCGTCGGTCTGGTTGAAGAACCTCACTTTTAGGGTCTTCCCAGCACCCCAAGGAAGCACCTTTTGGTCAGGGCCCCGGGTTCTGTAGAGGCCCCATCGTGGAATCACGCATCCCCGGGGGGAAAGGGGTGGGGAGGGGGCGTGCGCAGAACCGCGACGTAAGTCCCACCTCAAAGCTGCAGGAGAGCTCAAGGCACATGGCCTCGTACTGCCTCAGCTCCTCTTCCGGGCGGTCAAGTCCAGGTTTGGCGCTCAGCTTGTTGACGTCTGTTTCCAAGTCATCGTCCTGCAGGGGGAACATTCAAGACACGTGTCACCACCGAGAAAGCCACCCGGAGACATCGGGACGGCATGTATACGGGACCCTTCACAGCCCTGGGACACGGTGTCCTTGCCTCCGGATTACAGTGCGGGCCGACGCAAAGGACAGTTTAATGGGTCGGGTTGTTTTTTAGAAACAAAAAAAGAGCCCGGCCAACGTGGCTCCGTGGTTGAGAGTCGACCTATGAGCCAGGAGGTCACGGCTCGATTCCCAGTCAGGACACATGCCTGGGTTGTGGGCTCGATCCCCAGTCGGGGGCGTGCAGGAGGCAGCCGATCCATGATTCTCTCTCATCATGGATGTTTCTACCTCTCTCTCCTTTCCTCTCAGAAATCAATAAAAAAAAATTTTTAAATATTTATATTCTTGATCCAGGGGAGTCGGGAACAGGGGAGGAAAAAAATGCAATATTCCACCATCTCCCACAATTTTCCTCCAAACCTCAAATTAAAAGAAAAAAGACAGATCCTGTGAGACTTAGTGGTATTTTCCGATGCCTACACACCAGGCCCACACTCTGCAGCCTGGTTTTGGGGCTCCCAGCTTTATCTCTCAGGCCCTGCTGGCCTCCACCATGTCTGGGGCAGCCTCGGCCGGGGCCCAGGCTGGCACCCATGGCCACACAGCCGGGCAAGCGCTGGGAAGTGGGGTCGGAGTGAAGAGAGGCTCGGGCCGGGCCGCAGCTGGTCCTTGCCCGTCAGATACACGAGTGGCTGCCACTCTCCATTAGATGGCCAGTCCTCCGGGAGCGGGCGTGAGGGGAGGGGAAGGTGGCATTGATGGATGGCTGCGGCAGCACGGCATTATTCAAATAATGCGGCGCGGACTCCGAGTCCCGCACTGCCGAGCTACAGCAAAGAACCAATTTTCCACCGATGACTTCAGAAATGATTCTATTCATCAGCGAGACCCGGAGAACACCGGAGTGTCAATGGCAGCCTTCACCTGCGAACCTGGCTAAGAGGGGGTCCTTACAGGTCAGCTACTGTCATCAGCAAGGTGAGTGATATAGAGAGAACTCGGAAAGCCTCCTTCTCTCTAAAGAGACAGGTAGGCAGGCCAATGGGTAAGAAAAAAGAAAGGGAGGAAGGGGCGTGGATAGATGTATGGATGGATAGATGCATGGACAGATGCATAGATAGATAGATGATAGATAGATAGATAGATAGATAGATAGATAGATGATAGATGCATAGATAGATGCATTGATAGATAGATAGATGCATAGATAGATAGATAGATGATAGACAGATAGATGCATAGATAGGTAGATAGAAGTATAGATGGATGGGATGGATGGACAGATGCATAGATAGATAATAGATAGATAGATAGATAGATAGATAGATAGATAGATAATAGATAGATAGATAGATAGATAGATAGATAGATAGATAGATAGACAGATGATAGATGCATAGATAGGTAGATAGACAGAGGTATGGATGGATGGGTGAATGGATGGATAGATAGATGCATAGATATATGGATGGATGGATGGATAGATAGATGCATAGATAGATAAATAGATAGATAGACAGATAGATGATAGAGGCATAGATGGATGGATAGATGGGTAGATAGGTGCATAGATAGATAGTTAGAAAGAAAGATAGAAAGATAGATGCATCGATAGATGGATGGGTAAGTAGATAGATGGATAGATAGCTAGATAGATAGATAGATAGATAGATAGATAGATAGATAGATAGATAGATAATTTTTAAATCCAGGTTTTATATCCAGGAATGTCTTAAAAGGTAGCATTTACTTCTCAGTCTTATTTTGAGGATGACAAAATTAAGGAACTATCACTTGAAGGGCTTGTCCAAGTTAAAGTCTACCAACACAAACGAAGACAGAATTACAACCCTAGATAACGTTACCATTACTATAGAGCAGTGGTTCTCTACTCAGGGGTGATTTTGCCCCACAAGGGACATTGGGTCCTTCCTGGTGGGGAGGGAGGGGGGACGGGGGGGGATGGGGGGGGCAGGTGCCATCTAGTGGGTGGAGGCCAGGGATGCTGCTAAACATCAGACACTGCCCAGGAACAGCCCCCTCAACAAAGAACTGTCCAGTCACATGCCAATAGCACCACAATTTAGAGACACTTTCCTAGTATGGCCGACGTGGCTCAGTGGTTGAGCATCAACCTAGGAACCAGGAGGTCTGGGTTTGATTCCTGGTCAGGGCACAGACCCTGGTTGCGGGCTCGATCCCCAGTAGGGGGCGTGCAGGAGGCAACTGATCCATGATTCTCTCTCATCATGGATGTTTCTATCTCTTTCTCCCTCTCCCTTCCTCTCTGAAATCAATAACAATATATTTTTTTTAAAAAAAAAAAAGAACAGCAGCTGTCATTTATTGAGCAAAACAATCTGCCAGGCACCGGGCGGAAAGACAAAAGTAAGTCCTTAAAATTCACACTGATATTAGCTGACGACCGGCAGTGATATCTTCCCTGGTCCGCCGCGAACATGGGGATCGCTAGAAGCAAGGGCTGGTGTACCTACTTCCTCTTTCGCATCTTCAGAATCGGAGTCTCTGTCCTCTTCTTCGTCACCATCATCTTCAAAGTCTCTGGGTGGGGAGAGGGAGGGGAAGTGGGTGAGGCTGGCCCTTTGTCTCGGGTTCGGATCAGCATGTCTTCCCCTGACAGATCAGGAGCTCACGATGGGGTGCACGCTACCCCCGCGCACCCCAGGGCTCACTCCAGGCCTGGGAGGCCGTGAGCAGTGTCGGGTGTCTACACTGCTGTCCCCCTCATGTTGCAGAATAAAATGACACAGGCATACCATCTGGCTTCCCCCACCCAACTTAGAAGAATGTATGCAACTCCTTGCCAAAGGTTAGAGGTCACCTCCAGGCAAAATGTGCTGCAGTGTGATCGGCTCCCTAATTTTGATATGAAGGAGCTTATTTGAAACACAAGTCCACATAGATACCACCAAAAAATAAATAAAATTGATGGTAAAAAAAAAAAAAAAGAAAGAAACACAAGTCCACAGACACAGCCAGTGGAAAAGTATCGATTCCAGCCCGGCCGGCGTGGCTCAGTGGTTGAGCGTCGACCTCTGAACCAGGAGGTCACAGTTGGATTCCGGGTCAGGGCACATGCCCGGGTTGCGGGCTCGACCCCCAGTAGGGGGCGTGCAGGAGGCAGCCGATCCATGATTCTCTCTCATCATGGATGTTCCCATCTTTTCTCTCCCTCTCCCTTCTTCGCTGAAATCGATACAAATATATTTTAAAAATAAATAAAAACTCGCTGTAAAGCTCACAGACACCCACTTACTTTACCTTCGGCGAGAACGCGTGGGGGTTCCGACGGGAGGTGGCCGGGGGCGGGGAAGGCGTAGGCACTGCTGGCCGTGACCAAGGGAAGGGGGCTCTTGGGGTAGCACTGCCTCAGGACCTGAAGCGCGACGGACGTGACGGGTTCCAGGCTCCTGTCCTCCAGGAAGCCCTGCAGAAAGGGAAGATCGCGTCATTTCCTTCCGGCGTCTGTGGCGCCCCTTTGCC